CAGTTTCATCACACTTCTTACCCATCAAAAATCTACTCTATCAGTGTGCAGTTTCGTTACACTTGTTACCCATAAAAAATCTCTACACTTTCAGTGTGCAATTTAATCAGACTTGTTGCCCGTCAAAAATCTCTACTCTCTCGGTGTGCAGTTTCATCACACTTCTTACCCATCAAAAATCTCTACTCTATCAGTGTGCAGTTTCGTTACACTTGTTACCCATCACAAATATCTACACTTTCAGTGTGCAGTTTCATCACATTTGTTACCCATAATAACCCGATACACTCTCATGGTGCAGTTTCATTACATTTGTTACTAGTAAAAAATCTCTACATTCTCAGTGTGCAGTTTCATCACACTTTCTACCCGTCAAAAATCTTTACGCTCTCAGAGTGCAGTTTCATCACACTTGCTATCCGTCCAAAATCTCTACACTCTTAGAGTGCAGTAACATCACACTTGTTACCCATTAAAATTCTCTACACTTTTAGTTTGCAGTTTCATCACACTTGTTACCCGTCAAATATCTCTACACTTTTAGTGTGCAGTTTCATCACACTTGTTACCCGTCAAAAATCTTTACACCCTCTGTGTGCAGTTTCTTCACAATTTCTAACCGTCAAAAATCTCTACATTCTCAGTGTGCAGTTTCATAACACTTGATACCCGTCAAAAATCTCTACTCTCTCAGTTTGCAGTTTATTACACTTGCTACCCGTCAAAAATCTCCACGCTCTCAGTGTGCAGTAACATCACACTTGTTACCCATCAAAATTTTCTACATCCTCAGTGTGCAGTAATATCACACATGATACCCATCAAAATGCTCTACATTCTCAGTGTGCAGTTTCACCACACTTTCTACCCGTCGAAAATCTCTACTCTCTCAGTGTGCAGTTTCATCACACTTGTTACCCGTGAAAAATCTCTACACTCTCAGTGTGCAGTTTCATTACATTCTCTAGCCGAAAAGACAGAGGTGGAGCTTTTGACTTATGAAAGAAATGGTTTAATAATATTAGTGTGTATATATACCTTATCCTTTAATGACTTTATAAAATTATCTGCTGACAATATCTTTCTAGAAAACCAAATGTGCTCTCAGACGGTTTACGTTAACGTCTCGTGAATGGTAGGCGGCATTTCGTGATACATTAAAGCTGTGTTAAGAAAGCAATTCTGCAGGCGTTGTGCAGACTTTGAGTCACCGTTATGTTAATTACGTATTAGCGACACTATACGTAATTCTGAAACTCTTCGTAATATTGGTAGTGTTTTATAAGCCAACATGTTTATCGAGTTTGTTTATGTGCACGTGATCTCATTGAATGTTATAATATGTCTGAAAACACACACACTCTTTTTTTCTTTTTAACTTGTTAATGAGCAATAGTCCATTTCTAAGCTGCAAGTCAGCGGAAATCGCGATACACTAGTAAACATTTGTAACGAAAGAATTAAAGACACAAGCGTTACCTGTGAACTCGAGAATGAGGATTCCTGCATAAATATTAAATACTTAACACTGCATAAATATTTAAGGTATATACTTGAAATACTGAATAGAAAATGTACCAGAATGAAGCTGCACATGAAGTATAATAACATTGAAACTGACGAAGATAATCACCATGGTGGTCACTAAACTTTTTACTGGTAATTTATAATCAACTTGCTGTTTACTCTCGGCTCAAAATAATAATAACGTTATAGACTTACCCTTTTATACACTTATACAATAATATTAAAACTAAATTAAAGTAAACACGATATATAAAATTAATGTGAGCATATTTGCTTTAAGTAGAAGACGCGATTTTAATGCGTTGCGTTGAAACTTTGAGGAGCATTAGAACACTCACAGATGTTTCGTTTTAATTAACGAATGCTTCTTTTTTTTGTAGATTTTTTCTAATCGTCGTTCTTGATCTTAATAAACTAAAGTAGCATTTCATTAAACATCTTTCACAAAATACAAGTAATCAGTGAAATCAGAAAGCTGAAGGAAAGCTCGTTAGAATTTTAAGCTAAAAGTTTATCCCATAAACGAGTATTAAGGAAATCTGAACTAAGTACATGTTATCCACGTCGCTATCAAGCGTACTTTAGAACTAAAGATATTCAATACTTATACTCGTATTTACTAAACATTAATAGTCAAGTTAATGAGTTTACGCTAAGATCAAAAATTTAAGGCCTTGCCGTTTTTAAACCCAAGTTACCAGGGCCTTATCTAAGCGATCTGAAAATAAATTATAGAAGAACTCGAGTAAACGTTTATGTCTTACTAACAGGATTGTCCGAAAACGTGCACGCGGGCCATAAAATCCTTTTCGTACGTTTAAAGATTGGCTTACATCGACTCGGCTCCGTTGGAGTTAGCAAATGTTAAAGCAACACGTTTTATGTACGTGATTTAGTGGTACACAGCACTTATGAATACAACTGTGCAAGGTTGTTAAACGATTATCACCCCCCTTAATAATGCAACAAATATATTGTACCTAGCGGGTGGTCGATGACGGGGCCTAGCTTTCCCGCTACCAAGCTTCCGATTCGGAAGTGGAAGCATACGATAGTGGTAGATTTTCTTCCTAAATACTACTTCAAAACGCATTGTGTACGGCACGCACAAGCTTGTTACAGCCAGTACATTCTTCTTCGTTGTTATTTCCTCTTCCGTAATTCATAAGCAGAATTCATCATGTTAATAACCAGACTATTCAATAGATGTACATTGCCAACATGCACGTGCTTCAAACATAACCCCGCCTGCCTCTCCGTTAAAGGGGCACGCTTCCTGTATTCATATCGCATGGAGAACTGGCCCACCAGTAATGGAACACACTAGCTTCATAGAGAGTGTGGCTAATCAGGTCTGAAAGTGGCAAGTGATCCTCGCTCTCTGTTAATTTTGGTATCAGCAAGAAAGTGGCAACGTCTTGTTTTTTTATTTATTTACGTCTTGCTGTTAGTTATTTACAAATTACACGATTTAATAAAACAATGTGCAATTGATTGCGAATGTTGGAAGGACGTGGAATGTTCAGTTTGTTATATATTAATGTTTCGATTTTTAAATAATCAACTAAGAATACTGTTTATCATAAATTTTAAGACAAAAATAGCTATATCGAACAACATATGGCATTGCCTGTGAGTTTAAACACTGCTGTTAGCTGCTAGCTTTTACATAATAGTTACCTGTTAGATTATATATATAAATGTTTTCTGTTACATTTCACACAGTTGTTACCTGTCAGATTATATATATAACTGTTTTCTGTTACATTTCACACAGTGTTTACCTGTCAGATTATATATATAATTGTTTACTGTTACATTTCACACAGCTGTTACCTGTCAGATTATATATATAATTGTTTACTGTTACATTTCACACAGCTGTTAACTGTCAGATTATATATATAACTGTTTTATGTTACATTTCACACAGCTGTTACCTGTCAGATTATGTCAAACGCTATCTACTATATAATACATAATAACTAGTTATTATGTCATTAACATATACAAGCGTCATCTGTGACATTTAATACAGCTGCTAAGTACTAGGTTATATACATAATTATTTCTTGCTACTCTATACATTGGAGTTATCTGCTAGCCTGTGACAAGCGTTATATTTATTAGACTCAACACAATAGTTAAGTGTTAAATAATATAGAAGTGCTATTTGTTGCATTTTATACAATAGTTACCGGTTAAACTATGTCAAACATTATTAGTTAAATTACACAATCGCTATCTGTTAGAGTAAACACAACAGATACTTATCAAACTGCATATAGCTATTATTTGTCAGATTATATACAATTGTTATATGTTAGATCATGCACACTCGCATCTGGTAATTCCTTACCATCATTATCTATTGGATTATACACAATTTTTATGTCACATCATAGGCAGGCTTTATCGGTTAGACTATAGCAAACCTTATTTGTTGGATTAAACACAACGTTAATATTAAATTATACACAATTTTTATGTTACATCATAGGCATGCTTTATCGGTTAGACTATAGCAAATCTTATTTTTGGATTAAACACAACGTTAATATTAAATTATACACAATTTTTATGTTACATCATAGGCATGCTTTATCGGTTAGACTATAGCAAATCTTATTTTTTGGATTAAACACAACGTTAATTTTAAATTATACACATTTGTTAATTTGTGTAGATTATATACAATCAGTCAGAAAAAATGGTATTCTTGTTAACTTGTGTAGATTATATACAATCGTAATCTCTGTTAGTATAAACATAATAGTTATTTGTTACGTTATAGACAATCTTGATACTAAATTATACAGAAGCTTAATGTTAGAAGATACCAAATTGTTTGTTTGTAAAAGTTATATATAATAGCTATCTGTTAGATAGTACACTACTGGTACTGATTATAGTATAAACATTACTTTTCTTCTTGACTAGACATAACCCTCACCTTACTTTAGATTATAATTAAGCGATTTATGTTACACACATCAACCATTCCAATAAGTTAATCATCAGTATAGTATTTACATAATTAATACAAACCTTTTCACAAAATTATACAGATATGTATATATATATAAGATCTAATAGCCACAGAATAAAATGTTTATTGAAAATCTTTCGAAATTATAATTTTACCAAAACGAACGAATATAAAAACATCCAGAGTACTTGTTTCGTCCTCTGAAACCATAGCACTTAGTAAAATCCTAAGTTTATATATCTTCACCAGAATATATATAGACTAAAACATGTTTTGCGCAGAAAATATTATGTTCAAGTCAAAACGATGACTAATACAAAAATTTAAATAGCGCTTGTTTATTAGGTATTTAATTTTTATTTGAAAAGTCGCTAAGTATATATGTATTTCATATAAGTTTTCTATGAGCACTCATAGTGCGTGTGGGTATTTAAAATTAAAAGTTTTAAAACTTAGCACTGAAAAGTTTACAATCAGAACTTACCCTAAAAGGATTACAGCAATCAAATTCCGTTTGTTTCACCTTCTGAAAGTGCTTCCTTCAAGAGGCCAAGACCGCCCTGGTTACTTCTAGACCGTCGTGATTCCCGAACTGCACTCAGCTGTTTGATTCTATCTCCATGGCCATGTTGATGTAACTCAGGAGGCGGACAATCCAAGCATTTGACGTCATTCGAAATGTTACAATGATTGGTTAGCATTTCGGAAGGCGGTATTCCACAGACAAATCAATTACTCCATTGCTCGGTAGATTTACAATACGGTAGTGAGTTTAAGGTTTAGCTTGACCGAGTAACAGGAGTCCACGGAGCAAAAGATGAAGACAAACTATCCTAAAATAAAATATTTAAATTTATTTTGTAAAGGATTTTCCAAGTTCACCAAATGTTTGAAAAATGTGGATTATTATCTCAGTTTGTTTAGTTCTACATTTTTTCACTGTTTACACAAAATGTAGAGAGAACATGGAAAATATTGTCTACTTTTTTTCACTAGAATGTAAGTGATAAAAGAGCTACACCTGCTAAAAATGTTGTGTGAAATTTTTTAATCAGAAGCTCAAAAACTGGACAAACGGTCACTTTTAATAAATCAACATTCGTTAAGTCGGGCTAAATCAACTACATTTTGGCTTTCAGTTAAGTCTAAGGGCAAAAACCACGTAAATAATTTCGTGGCTGTTTAACAATCGGATTGTCTTTGGCAGTCTGACTAATTATTTCAGTCAGAAAAAAAAATGGTATTCTTTTGGATACAAAAAGTACTTTCATTGCTCTGGGATATTTGTTACATTATGTGAACCTAAGCCTTTCTGACTTCTTATCCAAAGTGAACTTATAGGATAATGTTTTTAAATAGAAGCGAATTATGTTTGCAAATGATGGTGATTAAAAAGGTTAAAGTGTGAGCGTAGTCTTTCTTACCTATTATCAAAAGTGATTCTATAGGATGTTTTTTAATAGAGGTAATCCGTATTGGTAATTGGTGGTGCACAGGAAGGTTCAAATGTGAACGTAAACATTTATGCCCTATCATCGAAAGTGGTTATAGGGTAATGAGTTTAAATAGAAGTGATCCATATTGGTAAGTGATGGTGCATAGGTAGGTTCAAATGTGAACGTAAACATTTATGCCCTATCATCGAAAGTGGTTATAGGGTAATGAGTTTAAATAGAAGTGATCCATATTGGTAAGTGATGGTGCATAGGTAGGTTCAAATGTGCCAAAAAACAAATCATCATTATTAATAAATTTATTTTAATTTTATATGATTTTGATTATTAACGGTGTTTTAAGTTCATTAACAATTGACGAGCCTCTCGAGAAAACACAACACAGCCACGCAATGTACAGCTTTTTAAAAGCTACTTTCTGCATGACCATAACATTTGAAATTGCTTGTTAAAATTATTTATCTACTATCATTGACAAGCATTAAACATTGGAGAAATATTCTAAGATGATTATTTCAAGTTATAGAGAAGAAAAGTATTGAGTAAAGCTTTTAAAATGTGCTTCTTCGTTATTGGGACATCAGCGGATTATTTATAGGCCTAATAAAACTATACATCACCTGACATCGTAAATGACTTGATACTACACTCCAAGAAAACGTAATTGTATCTTTAAAAGACAACCTTAATATTTGCTGCATTGTATATGCAAACTGGTAACATATGTAACGTGTTTAGGAGATTGGAGTTCTAAGATATTTAATTATAATAATTGTTTCAATATAGAGTGTTTGAAACATCAGATGTTAAGACGCTGAATTTGAAAGTGTTAAGTATTTCATTTATCACATTACGGTTATTTCTTAATTTGTTTAATTTTATTATTATTCAGCGCTTGGAAAACTAAGGGAACTTTGGTAATCTCAAACAGTTAATTTCTTATGGAAGAAAACTAGGTAAGTAAATAATTCGAATTTTCACTTCTGTCATGATTCAAAATTTTAGCATTCCCTAGTTAGTAGCCGAATATTTAAAAAACTTAAGCCTTGTTTGAAAGCTACACAAATATTAGAAAGTCTGTGTGCGTGGTCACGATAAAGTGGGCAACAAAATACATAAAAATACACACACGTTTGTTGTTAGGAAACTTTTAATGGTGAAGACACTCTTCGTCTGCGACATTTTCATGATTACACAGTTTGAATATTGGATATGCTTTTCGTGGCCAGTACGCTTCAGGAAGATTAAAATTATTAACATCAAGTATTTGTTTTTAGGGAGCACTGTGAAAAAATAATTTTTATTTTCCATTTAATCTGACGTGCATCTCTGTTACAGTCATCACCTTACTGTAGCAATCTGTTGTCCGGTGAAAGGTCTTATTTTTAACGTGAATATTTTTAGATAATAATGCAAAAATCTAAAACAAGTATGTAAATCGAGCTTAAGAGTTAGAGTAAACGGTCATAAAAGTTCTCACAATTCAGTGTATGAGAAATACAATGAAATGTGGGTTTTGTTTATCATTTCCTTCTACCCAACATACTTTGTTTACTATTACTTAGAACGTACAACAAAGTACCGCTTTAACATTGTGATAGCCTTTTTACCAAATGCAGAAGCACTTCAAACTAACAGATTCACTTCACGTCTCAAACATAAACTGTTTGTTCATCTTTTTACTGTTTCTTTCTGAAAAATATGTTTGCTCTCTAAAATATTGTATTCATAAAATAAATATCATTAGCATTTAATATGTATAGTTGTCCGTCGAGAAACCCGGCTTTACAGCAACACGCTGTAGAAATGTGTGCTTCTCCTCTGAAATGAACATCAGTTTTGCTGAACTACAATTTCTATTGGCAGATATTTTGTTAGGTTAAATTAAATAGACGATGGATAAAGTCTCGTGATTCATACTTCTAGTGTATCGCTGATTGTTGAAAGATTTGTTTGATTTTGTGTTTAGTCAACAGAAGGAAATCGATGTGCTCAAAAATTTAATAAGTGTTGCCTATGAAAAGAATGGATGTGAAAATATTTTTTTATCATCACAGTAATGTTTTTCTTTTCTATCTCTTCTGATTCAACGTATATATTTCGAGAGAAGTAAAATTAAGCAATCCAGAGATGAATAAGATAAGAAATATATCAATATTCATCCATAGAAATAACCCAGTGATCAAAGCTGTTACCAGGTGCAGACAGTATCTCGAAAACTGAGAGATGCGGAATGAATGAGCTTCAGGAATGGATTCCCAGCGTGATTTCCTGAAAATACGTGGGTCTAAAAGTCAATCCCTCATGTGGAAAAAAGAACAAATACCAAATTTGTTTTTCAAACGATGATTTAAAACATAACTAGTTTTCAGACTCATCATATATGGTATTGGGTGTTTTCGAAGATTACTCACAAATAGATTTTGATTGATATTATACAGATACTATGTAGTGATTAGGGTTGATGATTTTGTAAATAGTTATAGATGTCTTGGAATATCTTTCACAGATGTCCTAGTTTTATTGACCTTAAGTAAAGGACGTAGATAATATTTAGGCTTGGTGATTACGTAAATGGTTTTGGACATCTTTGAAGACCCCTCACATATCAACTAGTTTCATCAGTCCTATAGGCTAGCGTAATAGCTACGAGATGGAGCCAGTGTTCACCCCTACCGATCGTGTCATGAGGTTTTAAGGGTTCATAGATGTCCTTATGTTTGGAAATGATGTGTTTAGAATTACTTTGTGGGTTTTCAAACATTGATCATCTTAGATAGGAGAAAGTTCGTTATCGATGTTGAAGAAGTTATTTAAGAGTAGTCATGTTAGTGATGTGTGAAAAATCCAAATTAATATAAAAGTCGTGGCTTAAGGCAACATTTTACCTCAAACAGAAGGCAAAGTCCCTTTAAATGGAAGTTAACAACTATATGTTATAATGTGACAAATACTGAAAGTGGTAAGTGAAGATCGAACATGGTTTTAGAATAATGTCTGATATAAAATGAAATAACAACTTTTTCTATATAATATAAAGATTTTAGACATTTTATTTAAAACGTTGGCAGAGTAACGTTAGTCTAGTGAGATAAAATAGTCAGGAAAAACCGTAGTTGAATTTAAAAGTGAATTCAGAAATTCTAAACAAATCTCACCAAAAACATATTGTGTAAAGTTACACCTAAGTGTAAAGTAATCATAAAGAGCAAAACGTTTCGTCAAGTTAGACATTTTAGAAACGGAATATTTTTCATCTTGATTTACTTGGATCTTCATCTTTTTTACAGTTGTAAAAAAGGACTACTGTTTTATTAATATTTTAACGTATTCTAATGTAGTGACAAGCGTGTCAAGTAAAACATTCAACTGTAACAAAGATGACACATCGAGTATATCAAATTTTAGGTTTACAAAATATAATTGGCAAAATTATTTTATTCCACAACGTTAGATGGCTGAATATTTTTGTTCTTCATGATTGACTGATTACACAGAACGTTTTAGATGATACTTAATCTTTACCCAGAATGGTAGAGAAAGTGAAGTGAATATTCTGACAAAACTTCAAGAAGCCTAGCGCTAACCTACTTGTATAATAAGTAAACCTAACCCATTTGTTTGGCTGCTTTTATCAACTTCTTTCTTCTGGCTTAGTGTAAAATTTCGTTTAGGAATTTCTTAAGGGGGATTGTGGGATCTTTTGAACATGAATTGTTCCATCCCAGTTCATAGCAATATTGTTTGCTTCGATTCTTCTTCTGCACTATTGCATCACTTGACATGATGTTATTATCCGCCATTGTTCTTGTTGGATTCTTTTCAATAACCCGCGAGTTAGCCACCAGGGAAGAACCGCAGTTTACAACGCTAGCCTTCTTATAGAAAACCTAGATACTAGTTAGAAGTTACTATGTATATAAATAGCGTTTTAGTTAAACCTTGTCTCTCAACGTCAACACAGCTAACAAGTTCTGGTATTGTATGAAAGGCCTCTTGAGTAATGACTTGTGAGAGACAAAAATTTGATCTGAAGTGCTATTTTTACCCGCCCCTAGATTTCAATCCGAAATGGACAAATTAAGAAGAATAAGGAAGAAAATATCCGTAATTTATGTGATTTTATCA